ACAACACAGCCCTTACTGTAGCCTGGTACACACGACCCTTAAGATCCAGTGAGATGCCTTTTTGACGCCACAAGTGACGCAAATTAGCAAACGTGATTCGAGCCTTTGAGATTCTTGCATTGACTTCATCAGACACACTTCCGTCAGGGCTAATACAACTACCGAGGTATGTAAAGTTTTTCACAATCTCCAGTGGTTCTCCCTGAACTGTAAGGGATATGTTCGCAGGCGGCACGTTCTGAAGCATGACTTTGCACTTTGAAGGTGCGAGGCGCATGCCAAAAGATGGAATGATGGTGGTCAGTTTATTCAACAGGGCTTGCGCTTCGCTTTGGTCTTCAAAGATGAGGGCGATGTCATCTGCGTACTCCAAATCGACAACGCTCTCGCCAGCAACGATTTGGACACCGGGGTTTTGAAGACCGTCCAGTGTTCGCCTCATTATTTCATAAATTACGAAGTTGAACAAGAATGGAGAGAGTGGACATCCTTATCTGATACGACTTTTTGTAGGGAAGCTTTTAGAGAGCTCACCATACACTCTCAAGAAGCCCCATACTTCGAAGAAAACCCATGAAGTTGTAACAACCCTTCAATTCTTTTTCAGTGCGAACTGCAGAAACTGATGAGGAAGAAAATCAACCTCCCTTCATGGGACACAGGTCGTGGACTCTCGTTACCGACTCTTGGTGGGCGAAATTTCTCCTCACAAGAGGCATTCTTATGGGATCACCAAAGATGTTGCCAAACTGAATCAAGCTACATTGCGGGCTGTTTTGTTGTATGGCTGTGAGACTTGGCCTGTTCGGGCAGCGGAACTGAGACGTCTTCAGGTGTTCGACAATCGTTGTCTCAGAACCGTAGCTCGTGTGGGCTGGTGTCGGCGAATCCGTAACGAAGCAGTTAGAAAGCGCTTTTCGGTTGTGCAACGGGTACTTCCATTAAAGAATGTGTCCAGCACCAGAAGCTGCGTTGGTTGGGACATGTGCTCAGTATGCCTAGCCATCGTTTACCGAAGAGACTGCTGTTTTCTATGCCCAGCTCAGAGTGGCGTAAACAGAGAGGTGGTCAACCCTTGACTTGGCAGAGGAGTATGGAGATCACGAAACGCTTGGGTGCTGTCGGTGCTACTCGCCTTCCAGGATGAGGACCGCGTGATCCTCACTGTGCCTGGTTGGAGACACTACAAGATGTGGCTGCCAACCGATGTCAGTGGCGTTCTTGTTATCAGTTTCTATCCAGATTGCCTGAAAGACTGTTTGGAGGTGTAGACACCTCGGAATGATTGTAGTAAGCCAGCACTAAATCCCTTCCCTGTCCACCTCTATTCTTTTCTTCACAATAAGGCTTTCAATTAAATCGTGGTTGTACGGCAGCAAAGCATCGGTGTTGGACACTGACGTCATGCTGTCGACGACGATGATTAGAATCGGACCCATCACCACCAGAAAGTGATGCTATATTTCAAGTCAACTTAATAGTTATGGATAAATCTTAATGTACAGGTATCCAGATGGAAAATGTCACAGAACGATGCTAGCAGGCGAAACTAGACAGACTGAAGAGAATAACAAACTCACCGCTCTTTAGCAAGCGTCGCCGCCTGTGTGGTATGCAGTCGGATCCGCGGTATACGTCGATCCCACGGAGTCACCAAAACCCAACCAGTTTGCTCCACGAGTGCATCCGATTCCGGTATGTAAGTGCACACGTAATCTCTCCAGTTTCGACTCAGAACACCCACAACAAATCCGCTCGGCCATAGGGCAGCAGCGGGTGTGGAATCTGCACGATCTGCTTCGGTCGCCTGTTCCACGGCACCAACGGCCGTGCTAACAACCTCAGCAGCGTCTGAAAAAATAGCAAGTTAGTAAAGCTGCTAATCCATGGAAATATGCATCACAATAAAGCAGCTGGAAGGCAATGACAAACGAAGGTGTACTCCAAATCATGCGATGTTACAGACTCGTTACAATCTACAAAACAAACATTTTAACTAAAATACGAGAAAATCATTTGCTTCTCGAAAGAGACAGGCAGTTTTTCTGCCCGGACGGTGAAAACGGTTTGAGACCTAGTTGGACATTCTAAAGCTGTTTTGCGCCATTAGTAAGGCGCAGTTGTGACACTCGCTTCGTATCCACATGCAACTGAGTGAAAAACGTTGCTTCCCCAAGTGAGAATGATTTTCGATTGTGGAATTCATTCCGAATAGGTACTGCTTCCGGTTTGTGGTACTCTTTACTGTTGTAGCATTATTAATAACAACAATAATAATAATAGTAAAAATAATTGTTCAGTGGTAGCATCTTTTCAGTGACAAACTGCCATGCCCTCCGAAGAAAGCACGAGGGCTGAGATACCGCCAGGGGAAACTGAGAGGTCGGGTTCGAACCACGAACTTTCCAGTCAACAACTTCGCGCTCTAACCGCTGAGCCATCTCGCCCCAGAGGCAAAAGACCACATGTAATCACCGTCATAATAAATGGCATTAGTTTGTAGTTTGTCAGTAGTATGTTATACCGAGGAAAATACTTCGATACTGTGAGCATCCTTCGATCTGAAACATGAGACGGTCTCAAGGTAGAACAGTCGAATGGCGTAAATGAGAGATCCAGCTGGGTACCATCTGGGTCTTTTCTTAAGAATTCGATGTAATTGATGGTATAACTTTATTTTCGCAAAATTGGATGCGGCAGTAGAAAACCAAATAAACAAAAACTCGGGGACTAACCGACGGGAACAGAAAGAGTGAAACCGCTAATGAGCTGTTGAGGAATTCTCAGCATGCTCGAGATAGCTCAGTCATCAAAACGTGAACTTACTAAACCCAGAGCCCATGGTTCGAACCTTATCTCAGGAACTCGACTGTTCCTGTCTAGGCTTGGACAACCTGGCAGCATCTCAGCCCTCAGGATTCTTCCGGGTGGCATGGCAGCTAGGCACCAAAACCGTGCTACAGCTGAACGGTTTTACACAGATTACCTGGTTTACACCTAACAGCGTAACACGCTGTTGCTCATGAATCAACGACTCGTGAAAATCTTACTTAAAAAATAAGCATAGTAGATTGGTTCAAACACCAGTCCCGATGCAGAAATTGACCAGTTGGCCCAGAAATTGATCTAAACAGAGGAGGACAGAGTGAATAGCCGAGTAGATAATCTAGACCGTTGAGTGTGTCGCTTCAACTTGGAATGCAATGGATAAAAAACAGTTGTTTAAAGCAGTCTTCTACAGCATGCCAAGCGTAAATACAAGGTTGACGGGCAACAAAGACAAACACTAGTTTGTTAGAAGTACACAGTAATATCCAAGCTCATCGACTTCAATCAGGATCTGATAGATCAACAGCGAAGTCAACCGGTATCTGATCAAACTTAGAAGACGAACACAAACAAAGGTAAGGTAATAACCGATCACTCTCAATTAGAGGACAACGGTGTTACAGTGAAGCTGGCCCCCACAGCCTACACGAACCGATTCAGAGGCTGAAGAGACCGAGGAACTTACTGCTTTCCGTTGCATTAATATTTGATGACACGTGGCCCCACTGATCACGAGGCAAGAGCCGAATGACAACAACGTCACCATCCATGGCACGATTTCGATGCTGTACCCCATTTACAGCGATCTCACTTCGGCTGGCCAGAGCTTCTTTCAGTTCTGGCTGGTGCTTGACAAGGCTGGCGCTGAAAAGGGAGTAAATTCTATGCGTAAAGCCCGAACAACAAGGTCAAGAGCGATGCTCCTGGTAAACATCAATGGGTGTTAGAATGTCTGAATAACGACTGGATCACTAAATTACGGGGACGTCGTTTGCAATTTCTTGAGGAACAACCCTCCCTCCAAACAGAAGACTACTCTCCCAAAGGGAGCCACTTCCGGTCAGAAAGACCTTCATATGTTCTCTCCAGAGAGAGACAATGGTATCCGCTTCTATCAGAAAGATCGAGGACAGGTCTTCAAATCGAGATAGGATCGTCCAACATTCTCCAAAATAGATTGAGGCTTCGCCGCATTCTCAGTGAATGGGTCGTGGCAAAAAATCTTGTCAACCATAAGCATCAGCGAACATCTGATAGTGGTGCTACCGGCCGGACTACTCACGAGTAGAAAGCATTATAAGGAATTTGAGGGGTGTTTTGAAAAAACTCTATATATCAGCGAATTTAGGGCTGGAAGGGGTCACTGAATGATGAATGGATGGGGCGACACTTCTCTCTGGGAGACCTGTGAGACATTCAATACTCTACGAGGGTGTCGGGGCAGTCACAACCAACTTTGCTGCGAGTGTGAAGAAACATGGGAGCTTTCAAACGTACTGTGCGTGAAGCTGAGAAACTGAGAAGCACTGTACGGCTGCTTCATCCTTACTGAAACCATCAGCACGCCGCGCGCCACGAAACTCTCGAGTGCTTTAAACACAACCTCCCGGCTAGTAGGTAAATACTTAATTAACCATTTGATCACCAATCCACAACTACCACCGCCAGGCTAAGGACGATTCATAGTGTGGGAACCAGTATTTTTTACACCGAGGTTGTCCTTCACAAGAGACATGTGGGACGGTGTTATGTCTTCTGATTCGTCAATCTGTGGTATCTGCTGCTGACCCGCTCCAGGGCCTAGTTGCCGAAAAAAGACTCACAGAAGGGAACACAACAGCCATATTCCGAACAAGCGAGTGAGAGAGCGTGAGTGCGAGTGCGAAAAGTACACCGGTCTCAACCTATTTATTGGAAGGACACTGTCTGAACCTGGTCTAATGCTGACGCACACATCTGGCTTTGGTACGAGCTGCGACGCACTGCATATTGCGGGGGCGTTGCCTGATCAACGCTGACTCGCGCAGTCTGGGTTTGATACAAGGTTGTGACGTGCCGCATGTTGAGGGGGTGTTGTCTGTCTGGTCAACATCTAGCGGATCTGAGAGTCTCGGTAGATTCCGGGCATTCAGTGGTTGCTCTCAAGAATGTGACCTTCCTGATAGACGGTGTTCGGTGTCGAAAGCATCCAACAGCAGCAAACTCTAAGGCTATTAGAAAGCGAAACCAACGCTTCCAGATGATCCTCAAATCCTACAACACAGTTCCAATGGTACCCATCGTTGAGCTGGAGAATACACAGAGAGTTGGTCAAAACACAGTAAAATAAGAAGCAGACCGAAGTGCAAACACGCGAGACACGACAAACAGCCACATCAAGTAAATATTTGAGGTAGAAATTAGTTGGGCGCTTCTCACTCCTTCAAACAACGCTGTGACCTACTCTGTTAGGGTTACCATGGCTTCTGTGGTAGCACGAAAACGGGACACGCGCAGGATTCCTCGAAGGAACTGGCCAGAGCGGAGTCCAGCCAGTAAGGCGGATTCTGGTAAGTGTGTCGGGAATATATTTCCTGGTTCCGGTTCTGGAAGGGAGATGAAAGAAGGATTAGGGATGACAAGAGTTTTGGTTTAGCGATGCCCCATCAATAAGGTAATCCTACGTCTCAAGAAGAACAGTGGTGAGAGGGCAGGCTGCTTTTCAAGAGGAATTCACACAAAGCCGTGGCTGACAAGGAGAGCCATTATGCTCCTTCTGAGCAAGTGACCCCTGTTCTGAAACCTCACTCAGCATACAGTCACTGATGGTTGAAAAGCCATCATGAAATGTTTCTCATGGCTAAACAGAACAGAAACCCAGCGTTTATCGAACGAATGGTTTCGTTGCGCGCAACTGAAGATATTTTCGCTTGGCTGCTGATGAACAAGGCAGTAAAGACAGGATGAAATGAGAATACAGAAAGTCCGCAGTATGCGCAAACTCCGGCTTACACGATGACCAGTTTTTAACCTTCCACTTCTTTTGGACAGCTTAGTCTCTTTGTTTTGTAAACAACTTGTATTGTCCATAAACAGATAGAACGTCTCTACGTTTCGAAGTCTGCATTTCAAGAAGCCAGAACCGCAGTCGCATCATCAGATGGTTGGGTTGCATTTAATTGTGTTCTGTCGTCTTAAACAATAGGTAGAGTCATTGATTTCTCTCCAAAGGGATACTTGAATCCGTTGTTCTAACCGTGGCATAATATGTGGACAAACCTTATTCTTTGAACTGAGTGACAAAGCTTATCACTCCCAATCAAGCTAAATTTGGAACAAATCCCCCGACGTGGCTCCTCACTCACGGGCATTACCTACTCCTCGATTCAGGCATATTGGTTGACTGAGCACTGTCCATTAAACTTGCCTAGCGGACGGGAAATAAACCGACGGATATACCTGTCCCTGGAAGCAATCGTAGTGAGATAGACACAATCTAAGTTCCTCCTGATGTTCACGCATTAATCACAGATGGTAGATCAAAGGACTCCTGAAAAAATGGTTACAGATGAACAACGTAGATTGTCAACTGGACTTGAGGCGGAAATTTGTAATTTCACTTGCGACGTATTCGACCGCTCTCTTGATCGACAAAGTTCTATGCTGATGTCACTATCAATGATGACGACCTTCCTGAAAGTACCTTAACCACTGAGCTACCCATTAGATCAGAGGCCACAGAATACCGAAACCACACGAAGATATTGGTAAAGCTGCCCAGTTCGTGGAAGATGTTATCAAAAACGAACACGATCGACCAGGAGCTGTCGATTCAGGGGGGATGGTGTATTACACGATACGTTTGTCCCTCAAGAAAGTCTGGAGGCTGCAACATTCAACAACGGTTCCAAGAGCATCCAGAGCTATTCAATTGCAAGCGGCATCCATTCCAACCAATACTAGCCTGACACATCATTGCTCACGGATCCGCCAAAGTTTTGCTTATTTAATACCCTGGGATTTATCGGGTAGATCAACAGAACCGGAACTGTTGGGGATATGAAACATGGGTTTTCACCACCTACTTATAAGTAGTCCGTTTTTTTATCAAAAGTGTCTACGTCGCGTCCACCTGTAGACCTATTGGGCGCAGTCTGCTTTTATCACGCACAAAGTATCGTCTACAAGCGTAATAGATGTGAACGTTGTTTAACATTTTATCCAGTCCTGAGTCTACTCACTCAGAACAGTCGTATCTGTTTCAACAGCGTCTTGAAATACTGGTGACTCGGGTGGATTAATTAACTGACGATCAGGTGGCAGTTCCCAAGCTTGGAGAAGAGAAAAACTGTGACCTAATCAAAAGCGACGTATCCACCTCATTTCTTGTGGTAGTCTGGACAGTGACCAAGGATCAAAATATACCAAACTGCTGTTTTCTTTCTATCTCGTTTATTTGTTGGTTTCTGCAGCTATCACCACGATCAGGATAACCAAGTGCAGAAGGGTCGCTATCGGGGATGGGACATCGGTGGACGCTGAACTGCGCGGGCAAATGATACTTCCCGGTTGCCCAGGCCGAGGAAGGGGGTTTGGTTGAGGTACCTCGCCTTGAACCTTTAACTCAAAACTCTGACCCACAAAGCAGTGGGAGGACGTAGGGTTTTGCTCGGGGGTCCTGACCCTAGCCTCTGACTCAAAAGTCTGACCCACGAGGCAGTGGGAGAATGTAGGGTTTTTTTGGGGGGGACATTGCCCGGAGCCGACGACTCAATGGTCTGACCTGCTCGGCTGCAGGGGGTTGGCCTAACCCGAAGGCACAGGGAATAAGGCATTACTGTCTCATTCCTGATGCGGCTGCGCACAGGAAGTGCCTTTTGAGCAGCACCGGGCTCTTTGGTTCTAAAAGTATTTCGACCGTATTGGATAATGCGCCGGCGGTCACGGTCAACCGTTGGGCGATCGGAGTGTGCGGTTTTGGGGGCTGACCTTTTCTAACCAGTCCTTCCTCGGGGAATTTAACTTCTAAATCTAATACCAATTTATTATTCCTGTGTGCGATTTTTCGCCCCGATCAAACTGGTAGATACCGGCATATGAGACTAATCGATGCTACCCTTCGCTTTGTCTTGTATTTTTGCATACTGTCGCTGCTGACGTAAGCGTCGTCTTCTAATAGCATTAGTAGTCGGAAATTTCCAAACTGCTCCCTGCTGCCTACACCGCTCACACTAATTCCTCAGTTCGATTGTTTGTCCGCATTCCACTGTCACTCAACTTTTGCTTTAGAACCATTGCCGTAGCGTCACACACCGCCCATTCACTGTAAGAATTTGCCACACGGTGGTACTATTGACGCAGGGGGGAGGGTGAACTCAGATGTACTGCTATATGCCGTCATTCGTGTGAGATGCGTAGACGGGCACGATCACACCAGGCCATTAGACAAAACTACGCTAAACTGTAAGTCTCCGAAACGATTGTGCGTGCGAAACACAGTTTAAACTATCCGGCCTCAACATACATATTTCAGCTACGAGCAGCTGTAATTATTTGAAAGTAACCGAGGACTATTCAAGACGGGTGTTTGTTGAATTTATGACCAATTTCGATTTGGTACGTAGAGAAATCCAGAAGCATCATGATGTATGTTCGCACAATGCGACGCCAAGGGGGCCGCTTCGTTGGTTCAGTTGATAATTGTTCTCAGCCTTCAAAAACCGACACTCCAAGATCATGACTGCAATGATTACGATCGCCACTCACTCATTACGAACAAAAAATGGTTCATAAAACGAACTACTCACAAGGTTGCTACTCATTACGAAAAATGGTTCATAAAATGAACTACTCACAAGGTTGCTGAAAACTCTTCGACAGCTCACGACCGGCTTCGTCCTTCTTGGTTGGGATCAGGTAGGCGCGGCCTGGGTGCAGCACATTCAGTTGTAGAATATCATAAACGAGAGATTCAGTTGAGTCTCTCGTGGAAACCAAATCGATTTGTATTTCTCGAAAAGTCCAATTTGGGTTCAAGTAGAACATAAGGTTGACGGAAACTCGGGGACTGCGCCTACCTGATGAGCTCTAAGAAGGGCGAAACCGGTCGTGGGCTGCCGAAGATTTTTCAGCAACCTTGTGAGTAGTTTCCTTTAT